AGAATATTTTAAATTAGGTCTTATACCTGAAATTAGAGAATTTGTATCAATTAGAAATCCAGACTCATTACAAGATGCATTAAATACTGCAAGCACCGAGAGGGCTCACAAAGGATCTCTCTTGGCCAGGATTCGATCCCACGTGGGTAAGGCGACTTAACCATTCCGCTATTAGTCGCCTCCTTATTTAATATGTACTATTAATTCATAAATACAACAGTACAACATATCATTAGTTTAGTTTCATCTAGACCAGTGATTCTCAAACTTTTTTTGTCCGCGACCCCCTTTTGGACATGTAAAGTTTCTGCGACCCCCCGAAGAATGGGAATGTGTAGAGAAACAACCATGACTAATCTGTCATTAATTTTTTGCGACCCCCTGAGGGTTACGACCCACACTTTGAGAATCACTGATCTAGTCCAGTGTGTCTCAACTATTTTGATATGTGACACAAAGTGAAATCTGTCATCCATTAAAAATTGAATGTTTTCCCAATTTTGAGTCATGACTTCTGTCTGTTAAATAAAATTGGTTTTTCTTTGTAAATCATAGGTAATACAATATAAAAAAAAGGTTGCTAAATGAAAATGTGATTTAAAAATATATCAGTTTATTAGAAATAAATACCTAAAACAGGTATACAAATTAAAATCTAAGTAAGAAACAAAAATTTACAAGAAAAAAAAAATATCAAAACACAAATAATAATAATATATAATATATATATATAATAATAATAATATGAAAAATTAAATTATTGTTTCGAATTTTCTTCAACAGATCTCATTAATAGAATATTTATATATGCATATGTATATATTTATAATTCAACGTACTATAAACATTAATTCAATAATTAGAAAAAAAATAATATATTATTTATATAACATGTATGTAGAGAGAGATATAGTTTAATTTTTTGAGATAGAGAGAAGGGGGAAATGGTAAATTTCTTTCATAATTCAACGTTACGTTTTTTTTTCTTCTTCATTCTGTATTATATTAAGCTACGACGTTCGGTGGTCGAGGGTGGGCCTCAACGAAAGGCATGCCTCCACCCAGAAATTTGGTCGCTCCAACATGCTCTTCCACAGAATCATCTCTTTACCAGTCGCGTCCATCCAATCCACACCTTTCCCATAGTGTTTCCCTTCAAGAAACGAAAAGTACATTAAAGAAATTATTGTAAATTATTTGATTTCTTGATTTACCTGTTCCTAGCGAGAATCTTACGCCTCCTAAGAACTCGTTACTCGCCAGACGATCGTGGTCCCAAACTGTTAATTCCAAAGATCTTTCAGCGAGCTCTTGCAGAGTAACATCATCGTAGACGAAGGTGTGATTCCAGACTGGGTTCACGGTACGCCTTGTCACCGAAGTCTTCTGCTTTCCGCTCCTTCCTTTATCTGGCAGTAAATAACTAAAATTTATGATTTAATTAGTTAATTGTAACTTGTTTGTAAGTTTGTGAAATTAACCTTTTGCAAAACGGATCCGATGTTCCATTGGCTTTTACAGCTGTCAAACTCTTCGCTTCTTTAACGAGGACGTGCAGCGCGCCTCTGGACCGTTTGCCCTTCTTGTGCACGGTCATATCTGGAGGCACGAACTTCAAACCAACCAAAATATCACCCTTGAACGAAAGGATATCATCGAACGGTTCCGTCTGAAAAAGGAATTACATGTTGAATGTGGGTTTACTATGTAATTTTAGTTAGTGCTTCTTACCCTTTCTTGTAGATTATACCACATTGGTGTAGGATCATCGAAAACTTTATTCTCTAAAGTCATCATGACCTCGCCCAAGAAGTCGTTTCTGCCGAACATGTCGGAGTGCCAGACAGTTAGCCACAGTGTGCGCGTCTCTAAACCGTTTAGAGAGATGTGGAACTTCAGGCATTCGTCGAAGACGGGGTTCAAGGTGTGCTTCTTCACTTTGGTCTTCCTCTTGCCGCTCTTCGATTTATCCGGAAGCAGGTACACCTTCACGTAGGGATCGGAGCGGTTACGTTTCGCGTCCACCGGCGCCAAATCCTTGCACTGCTTCACATTGATCTCCAAAGCTGCGGCCTTGTAGTTGTACTGAAGACCGAATTCCACTTGTCCGCGAACTGTTACAGTGCCGTAGCGGCCTTCCCCAGCTCCAGAATAGACGCTCGCCATCGAATCGGATCTCAACTAAAACACAACAATTTACTCATACGAATTACTTATGATTTATTGTACTTACACCTAAACTGGACAGGCTACTCCTCCTATGCAACGTGGCCAATCGATCTATGTCATCCTCGTTGTGCCACTCTTGACTTCCAATCACTGCCCTCTTCGACTTGTGCGCCACCGGACTTGGACTCGCGCTCTTCGACGACCTCGAGGCCAGCATTGGCGACGAGTGCGCCTCCGATAAACTCACTTCATCTGCAAAACATTCAATAAAACAACATTACTCCAATACACATGGCCAGTGATTCACGCAGCACACAAAAAAAAACCAATACAAACTTATATCGGTTTGCTTGAAACACAAAACTATAAATAATTATTTATCAAAGTATAGTTAACTCGAAACGCTAAGGTGACTAAGTCTTTCACAAAACAAAATAGCAGCCTCGTATTTCCATACCGAAAACATGGAATCTAATAACCGTACATGGTAAAATCTCGTATTGTCTAAGTAAGGATACTCTTTGTACATTGATATGCAAAAATGTAAGCTGTGTCTCCGGAGACAAGAAAGCGGATTGCGCCAGAGCCCAAGTCTATTTATAAAGTGAAGATTAAATTCCGTTTTGTTCCCATGGGTCTAATAAACAAAGCAGTTTTATTGCGAGCTGCACCGAAATTCTTCATCCGCGCGAAGAATGCAATACATTTAAAATATGTTACATCATGATTAAATTGTATTCTCGTATGGAAATGAATGATAACATTGTGCAACATCAAAAACCAGATGTTTGTTTCAGGTATGATATGTCCGTAGGGTGATCTGGGTTTGTGGTGGATAGACCTGGTCGCCCGCAGCGGCCAACATGAAACGCAATTAAATGCTGCGGCCCCTTAACTGTAACAGAGCGCAGAGGGTGGAAGTTTAAGCTGTCCGCGTATACACGTGGATAATGGGAAATGGGAACGTTCAGCTGGCATCGGACAGGGGAGGTCAGAAAGGGATAAAGTCCGTATCAAATGCGACGCAAGAGGTCTTTGAGGATTAATAATGGGACTGACTGTGTGAGGTGGTTTTCAAAAAGTTATCAAAACATAGCTTTGTCGATGGAATCCTCTTAGATATTATTACGTTCATGGAAACCGGAGACTTTATGTAAGAATCAATATGTTAAGTTTTCTCTTTTTTTCGATCAAGTAGCAATGAAAATAAGCAATCTTCTTTTCTTCTTAGATATTTGCAAATAGCGTTTGTATGCTCAAATTTACCTGCATTTAACAACTATTTAAAAGTTAAGCACGAATGTCGTGGGTAATACATGAATTGGTGATCCAATACCAACTAATAAATGTGGCAACATAATTGTTGTCTGTAAATCCACATCATTATTGTTAAATTATTGTCTAAAAACCCTTAACTGTAAAACTTTTTCTTTTTTTTTGCGCCATTAAATAACTCATCATGTTTCTGGCTAAATGAGCTGAAGCTCACATGTACGCCACCCCTTAATAATAACACCATTGTATCTGCATATCTACACTGAATAAAGAATTTTAAAATTGAATTGAACATAATTGTTATTTAACTATAAATTTTCAAACGAATTAGTGATTCCAAATAGGGAATACCAAATTACACGGAAACAAACAGGTCTAAACTATTAACGTTAACCAAATTATTCAAGAAGGAGCTCCACATTCTAATTATATTTCGACGAATATCGAACGGCCATTGAGAATTCAAATATTCTTCGTCACGTGGCTTAAAACTAGCGTACTCAACTCGGATTTTAAGCTTCAAAAGGATTACATATTACTATGTTGCATCAAAAAAAAAACGACCGGTAATGCGAAATTTTAATAATCCCACTGGATTTAAAATAAAATCGATGTACACATTCTTCACTACGAAATTCTATCTAAAAATTGGCACGCTGATGAAAAGGTTTCCAATCGGGTCTCGTTAATTAAATTGGAGATTTTAATTGATTCATATGCGTATCGTTTCGCTTTTCTCTCGTGCGAAACTTTGTGGAGCAGCAAAAAAGAAAGAGAATTAATTGAATCATACACGTGTGAGATTGACCGAGATTCGGAAGTGCAGCAACAAACAATGATGGCGCGACAAGAGGTGAAAGTCGTTGTAACTCCAAAACTAAACTATGTTTTTTCTTTTTTGTAGTAAACGGTGTAAAGTTGAGGGAACGGAAAAGAAATAGCAAAATGCATTTATAATAAATATTTATAAATATCGTCGGCGCGTTGCGTTTCGTATCCCTGGGAGATGGAGAAAGTTGTTTCGCTACTACAATTTTGTTTGTTGCGCGCAACGATGAATGGGAATGATCCTGAGAACAAGGTGAACTATTGCCGTTTAGGATTTGATATTTCGTTATTGTATTTGCTGCATTATCGGTTTCCCTGCTTTCTACTCGTAATTTATATATTTATATTTACACATTGCGCATCTATCTTTTACCTGCAAGGGACGAATCGTTTTGTTTTGGTTCTTCTACTCTTTGACGCTCTTCATAAGCCCTTTCCGTTTCAGGCTCATTCTCCGGTATAATCGGTATGTTTTCATTCAATTTGCGTCTCTGAAGGGTCGAGGAAACATTAAATAAATAAATAACAAAGGGATTATTGTTATACCCTTGATAAGTCCACGACAACAAACTCGATGTGATCATCTTCCGAGTCGGATGAATCGTTATTGCTGCAACAGCAGCAACGGAAACATCGATTCCGCGATTTCGACGAATCTTTCTCCGTCTTCAAAGAAGTGTTGAACGTGGAATAACTCGAAAAGCGTCTTTTGGTGTAATTGATCAACTCCGCCATTATTTCATAACGTTTCAATATATTCACGTCGCGGTTTACACTGAGAGAACCGTTTTTTATTTTTGATATTTTCGAGATTAATAAATGTCCGGTACGGTTTCCGCCTTTGATAAATGGTGAAAAAAAAAACTCGAAATCTCGCGCGCACGTTTCCACTAGGAACAGAGACCCAGTTTTCGCGCGAAATGATTAATCGTCGACCATCATCATCATTCGTTTTCTGGTTTTAAGTGATACAAACTACCTACGGCCGCAACCAAAATCCATTACTAATCCGTCGCTAATTAAAACTAATGTCTTCGTTCCACAGAACGCGAGGACTTTTCTGGTGTCGATGCACTCTTTAGAAGACATCTTTCATGTTCAGATATTAACACACATAATACGAAGGCTTTGTTAACGATTCCTGATGACGATGCACTCTGTACAATCGCTACAAGAGAATCATCTTTACCGTTTTAAAATAATGTCTTGTTTCTATAGTATATAAAGATTTTATGTATCGTTTTTGGCTCAATTAAACTAAGAAATAAATAAACAATCATACATAATGTTTCAACTTTGAATAATAAAGCTTCAAGAAGACTGGTTTATACTCTGATCTATCCACAAATCAATTAATTCTAAGAACAGAACATCGGAAATTTTTCTAATAACAGTACTAATAAATTGCACGAAATAATCATCAATTCAACATCACGTTTATTTCTTATTAATTTCCAATATTCTCCAATCTTATTGATAGACCTTGCATATAAAATACGTGATTATTGTGCAATGTCTTCATATTAATATAATGTTATGCTGATGTTATGCATTACGTGGCGTGTATGATGTGGTACGAGAGAACCTATGGAATATTGTTGATCGAGACATATCAATTACCAGAGGCGTATTATTATATAATTTCTGATTAAACATTGAATCCAATTTGAAAAACTTAATAATTGAAACAGTCATTATTAATTGAAACTTTTCAATAGTATTAATTGTATATTTAAATAGTTGAATGTAGTAATTAATATGTGATTTCTATCTGGCATATTGTAAAGTATGTTAATTGTAAGATAAATGAATGCAAACTCATGACAATAAAGAACCACAATTTGTCATTTATCTTATAGATTCAATCAATTTCAAAGAGTAATTATACTTAAAACATATTTGTCTTTCATTCTTTTACATCTTTATGAGATCATTATATTTCTATCAATAACCATTGAATTCTTAAAAAATCCAATATAAAAATGAAAACGAATTCGCTTCGAATTACCTCCTTTACTTTCCATCTTCTGTAGATTTGTTTTATTTATATTTCTTTTTGCATCCTCCTCTCGCAGTACAGAATACGTATAATATCTCTTCCACCTCTGCGCGTTTCATTATCCATTTATTCATTCCCAAGGACTCGCGACCTGTGTTTTCTCTAATTTCCTTCCGCTTGTTTACTGCCTCTTCTGAGGCATATATTTCTCTCCATCTGATCCATCAAGGTTGCCATTACAACCTACCCGGATCGGCGATTCGAAACCACCGATGCGTGGGAACACGTACAGATAAAATCCAGATCGCTTACAAACACAAAATTTACTTATTTCTATTGTACTTCAAATACATTACAAGTACACACAACTGGATATACTTGCAACAGTTTCGAAGCGATTATTTCATTTATAATTATCGTATTTCATATTTTTTTTTTGTAATAAAATCGTATTACCAAAAACATCTGAAATAACCAAGCAACGAAATAAATAAATAGCTTTGATACAAATCAAGGAAGAATAACAAAAACAATATTGTAGTAAAACTCGTGGGCTTTGAAGAACGAACTAGTTATTGCCGAGCGGAACGGAATGTCTCGTTTTATGCGAAGAATAAAACTTCAATAGAAACGGAATATTCTTTGATGGGGCTAGAAATGCTGCTCTCGTTTGGGTAAGAAATTTACTTTTTTTTTCTCTATCTCTGTCTTTGGACAAAATATATATAATTGTTCTTTCGTCAGTAACGAGCCCCGATTCTCGTTAAAAGCAGATTTGTTTTATTGAACAACATAACATCTGTATCAATAAGTTCGTAGAATGCCATATAGATGGCGTTTCTATCGACAAATCCATATGATTTTTAGGAAGTACCAACCTTTGACGCCTGTCAAAATTTCATGGCAATCTGACGTTTAGTTCATAAGTTACATCGTTCTACAAGGTATAATCGGTTCTACATCGAGTGTCAGTCTTGAAGGAGACTATGTTCATGAATAATGTCGAATATTGCCCAAAAGTTTTTGTTGTACTGGTAATAGTACGAACTTATTGAGTGAGGTGTTATGTAAGTATAAAGTTAATAGATTATACAAATTCCTTCCTATTTAATTGTTGTTCTTCGATTAATCACAGGTTTACATTTTACTA